GAAGTTGGATTTTTTATCTTTATATTATCCCTAACTGTTGTTGATATAGTATGTTTTGGACATACACTTATTGATGCTCATTCTTATAAGCTCACGTGATTATGAAATTAATTTCTTATTTCATTCATTAAGCTCCTTATGTTTTTGCAGGGATCAGTGGTTCACTGAAATATAAGAATGAGGAATCAATGGTTTGCTGAAATCTTCTAAGCTCCTTCAATTCCCAGCAGGGCATTAGGTCATTAGGTGGAAACTATATACAAGTATATCCCTTTATTCTGCCTCAGTTTATAAGAAGATAATGGCTGGATTTTTCAGGTTTGATTTCATTCTTATAAGCTCACACCCATGGTTAAAAAATTGTTTTCTTATTGCATTGTGTACCTATATATGACTATATTCTAACAGATTATTTCTGTCATCTCAAATTGAGTGGTTGACTTTAATGTCCCTTAATAGACTAACTGATATTAAACTTTAATTTAATATAATGTAAGTTGGTCAAAATGTAAGTCAGAATGTATTCCTACTTATTGGGGTGCCTCCCAGTAATCTTTATGGGGCTCACTATCCGATCGGGGTGCCTCGCAGTACAATCTCTGGGGTAACAACAGCACCAAACACCAATATTTCTGCATTTGTCTATCAATTACCTTGATTTATTTTTAAATCTTCTAAAGTCCAATTGATTATTCTGACTTATAATGGGTTAAGTCATTGTTCCAACCTACTTATCCCTTCTGACTAAATAAACCATTGATACTATTTGGACTTGTGAGTTATGGCACATATAGTCGGGCTTTGCTTTTGGAGTGAATGCTAAAATCTCTTCTCAATTTGAGCTTGCTAAACATTTCAATATGTTCCTTCCTCCATTCGCGCTTTTTCTTTCATTACTCGGGGATTACATGTAAATTGAACTTTTGCATAGGTTTTCCTTTTCTTTTGTGCTGCAAGGGTTGTCAAGTATTAAAACTGAGAAACTAAGAGATCGAATACCATATTTCGAAGTACTACTGATCTGGCATTTTTCTTTCAGACCTCATATTTTTCATGCATTGTTTGTTATTTATTAGTGGGGTGATAGTTTGCTGCACTTGACAACTAATGGTCTCTGGTGGTCTGTGATGCTATTTTCTTTGGTGCTATTATCATATGTCTAAAACTCTAAATGCTTACATATATGTTGAAACTAAAAAAATGAATCGAGAAGAGGCAATTTAGCACCTGCAGAATATCATCTCGTATAAGTTTTCAATCACTGTTGCTTATAGAAGAGTATCTTATGTACCGCTTTTCTTTTTATTGTATGTGTTGCTGAAGTTTTTTATGTATCATGTGCCTTTTTCAGTTTATTTGTTCTATATAAAATACAAACTTAGAGTCTTATCTTTACATAACAACGCATATGTTAATTTAGCTTTTGGTTGAAATATTAAGAACTTCTTCCACCATAGCTGCTTGTGCACGTCGCTTATATTGTTTTCCTCATGTTATATGCTGTAAAGGTTACATAATATTCTTATATATGGTGGTGTCTAATATAGTAGATAGGTTTCTCCATTTAATACCTCTTGTGTGCATGAAAAGTTACATACTTTTTTCCTCAGGTTACAATGCATTGCTATATTCCTATAGCTGGTGGTTTTTTTAGGACTGTTCTTGATATGGTATGTGGGGTCGGGAATTCAATGTTTCCTATTATTTTGGAGCTCATCATAAATCTATTTTACGTATCCCATACTATTTTATGCTATCACTTGGATAAATTATTCTTGGATAAACTGTCCCGGTGGCCACGTTGTCATCTATGGCCCTCCTGTGCAGTGAGCCGAGTTTCAAGATGTTGTCAGACCAATATGTTGTGGAAGGAAGCGTTGCCAGCTGGAAAATGATGTTTCATATTGCTGCTGTGTAAGCCAAATTTTGGTTCTTCTCGACCAAAAAATCTTAACTTTGCATAAACCATGTACAACCCTCCAATTTTATAACATGTACCTTGACTTGATGTAATTTTCAAATTTAATTCCAGCTTTTCATATTCGAAAGTTTTATCACATGAGCAGTGCAGTTTTGGTATTCAAGATTGATGAATTTTGTGAAAAGTATTATATTCACCTTGATAATTACAATTACATAGCAAGGCTTATATAGAATGACTTATGCGGAGGGATAAGCATGACACTTAATGTTAGCTATACATTCGGTAACAACTAACAGTAAACTACAAAAGTGGAGCAGCTTAACAATATACATGCATGCACGACTCTACTATGACCATCTGTACATGTATGATGTAAATAAATGTAACAATAATCAATTACGTTCTAATACGCCCCCGCAAGATGGAGGTGCCATTGGTAACACCCATCTTGGAACGAAATTTTTCAAAAAGATCACGACCAAGAGGCTTGGTCAAAATGTCAGCGATTTGTAGCTTCGTAGAAATATGATGAACTGTGAGCTGTCCTTGAGCAATAAGATCTCGAACAAAAAAGAAGTCCAATGCCAAATGTTTCATTCGTGAGTGAAAGACGGGGTTGACGCAGACATAAGTTGCACCCAGATTATCACAGTATAGTTTGGGAATAGCTGGAGTGGAAACTTGCAATTCTTTAAGAACATTCCGTACCCATAGGAGCTCAGCACTGGCATGCGCCACCGCCCGATATTCTGCCTCGGTGGACGAACGAGAAACACATTTTTGCTTGGCAGACTTCCATGAGATAATATTTGGACCAAGATATACGGCATAAGCAGTAGTTGACCTCCCTTCATCTTGTATGTTGCCCCAATTGGAGTCTGAAAAGACCGTAAGTGTAAGTGAGGAAGCACGGGTAAGAGCCAGACCAAAATGAACTGTTCCTTTGAGATACCGGAGTATACGTTTAACGGCCTGCCAATGACATTCCAACGGGTTGTGCATGTGTGGAGATAGCCGATTAACCGCAAATGATATATCCGGGCGAGTAAATGCCAGATATTGTAGTAGACCAAGTGCACGACGGTATAAAGAGGGATCACTCATAGGGACAGTAGAAGTAGCAGAGATGGAAGTAGGCGAGGTCATAGGTGTAGGGGAGTCCTTCGCACCAGTCATTTTGCAAGTCTCAAGTATAGTGAGGATATATTGTTGCTGAGACAGAAATAACCCAGTAGATGTGGGGATAACTTCGATCCCCAAAAAATGATGAAGAGGACCCAAATCCTTCACAGAAAACCGGGCAGTGAGACTTTTGATAAAATGATTGATAGCCGGAGTAGAATTTCCTGTAACCACTATGTCATCAACATAAACTAGGAAATAAAGTAGTGTATTTCCATGAGAATAGATAAATAATGAATTATCTGCATGGGATTTGCAAAATCCGGTGGTGAGAAGAAATTGGGACAACTCTTGGTACCAAGCACGTGGCGCTTGTTTCAAGCCATACAGTGCTTTCCGGAGACGACATATATGAGTAGGATGGGATGAGTCAACATACCCGGAAGGTTGAGTCATGTAAACTTCTTCATGCAACGTACCATGTAAAAATGCATTATTTACGTCAAGTTGACGAAGCTCCCACCTGTGAGACAATGCAATGGTCAAGATGATACGTACGGTGGCTGGTTTGGTAATCGGGCTAAACGTCTCAGTGTAATCTCGCCCGTATTGTTGAAGAAATCCTCGTGCGACCAAACGTGCCTTATACCGAGCAATAGATCCATCAGCATGTCGTTTAATCCTGAAAAGCCATCGGCAAGATATAGGAGTGTGTCCCGCTCGAGGAACAAGATCCCATGTTTTATTTCTTTGAAGCGCATCAAACTCAGCGTCCATGGCGGCTTTCCAACGAGGGTCAGTCAAGGCTTGGGTAACACTGGTTGGTTCAAGGGATTCAGGTATGGGATGAGATGTGGTGGAATTGACAAAGGGGCCACCAATATATTTGGGGTTGGGAATTTTAGTGCGGCGTGGCCGAGTGGGAAGTAGTGGAGTGGAATTAGACGTAGAGTCAGAAGGGATGATGGATTGATGTGGTGTATTGGACAGCTGGGAGGTTGAAGTAGGCTGCATATGGGTAGAACTAGATGATGACACGTGAGTGGAAGTGTGGTTGGAAGAAAAGGTTTGAGATGATAAGGTGGGCAGTGCATTGGTATGGGAGGAAGGCAGATTGGTGGGCCTGGGAACACATGGTTGATTAACAAACAAGTTGGGAGGAAACTTTAATAAACACGGACTGGTAGCTGCCTGAGGCATGAGTGTCGTACAGTCAGAGGAAGACACATGGGAAAATTGAGATGATCGAAACGGAAATATATGAGAAATAAAACGAACATGTCTCGACACAAATAGGCGATTAGTGAGGGGATCTAAACACAAATAAGCCGACTGCGATGTGGAGTACCCAACAAATACACATGATTTTGATCGGGGATGTAATTTAGTGGATGAATACGGGCGTAGCCATGGATAACATAGGCAACCAAAAGGTTGAAGTTTATTGTATTTGGGTGAGGTTTGGAATAGGCGTAGATAGGGAGAGTCATTTTGGAGAGTGGGTGTAGGGAGACGGTTAATTAAATACACAGCGGTTTGAAATGCATATGGCCAGTAAATTAAGGGAAGACCGGAGTAATGAAGTAAAGCAAGACCGGTGTCAACAATGTGACGATGCCGTCTCTCAGCAATACCATTATGTTCCGGAGTATGTGGTGGGGTAGTATAATGAGAAATTCCACGTTGATTGAGATATGTCCGGAGTTTGATGTATTCACCACCATTATCCGAAAATAATGAGATAATTGAGCAGTTAAATTGCTTCTCAACCAAACGATGAAATTGAGGAAAAATAATGGATACTTCAGATTTGTGTTTGAGTGGATAGAGCCATATATAACGTGTATAATAGTCCACAAAAATTACATAATATTGGTGACCATCAAGTGATTTATTAGTAGTACTCCACACATCAGAATATAAAAGCTCAAGGGGTCTAGTAGCAGTCATAGAATTGATAAAGAAAGGTAACTTAGTACTTTTATTAATAAAACATGACTGACAATGGAAATCTCGAGGCAGAGTACAAGAGGACAATGCTTTATTTTGATTAACTAAAAGATTAAAAATATGACTTGAAGGATGACCAAATGTGTGATGATGAGTAGCGGAAGCAGACAATTGTGTGGAATGCAGCTGCGGCACGGAGCAAGAGATTGACTTTATTCGGGAAGGTGCATAATAAACATCATGAATGTTCTGCCCTCGCATTAGTGGTGCCCCTGTGACTCGGTCCTTGACAACAAAATGTGAAGAAAAAAATTCCACAGAAACTTGGTTAGTTTTACAGAGTTTAGCAACTGACACAAGATTTTTATGGAGTTTAGGCACACACAAAATATTGGATAGAGATAGTGATCGGGATTGAGTGGGGATTGTGGTTTGACCAGTGTGAGTAATGGGAAGGGACTTACCATTACCAAGATGAACCTCATCGGGACCGCCATAGTCCGAGTAAGATGGCAAAATAGACGCATCTGACGTCACATGATGAGATGCTCCGCTATCAAATAGCCATGGTTGAGCAGCGGTAGATGATGTGGTAGTCGTGTGATTAACTGTAGGGGCAGGTGCATATGGCACTTGGTTATTACGCAGAAACCGCTGCAACTTGCGACAACTTTTAACATCATGCCCTGTAAAATCACAAAAACGACAAACAATAGAATTAGATGCGGTGCGTGGTACTCCATTCGAGCCTCCACGTCCACGGCGAGAGGGATGTCCCCTGCGATCATTGTTGTGTGATGGACGGCGATCAGCAGGAAAATAGTGAGCAGATGCTTGCGTGACGTTGGCAGTAGGGAGAAGTTCTGATGTTGCAGCCGCATGTTGTTGATGTTGTTTTTCAGTTTCCAGGAGTATATCCTGTAACTCAGTGAGTGATAAATCAGCAGTACGAACACGGATGGCAGATGTGATTTCACTGTAGTCTGGACCAAGGCCGTTGAGTATATTGATAACAAGATCCTCGTCGGAGATCGGATTTTGGGCTAGAGCCAAAGCTTCGGACAGTGCATACATATCAGCCAGGTAGTCCAGAATTGAACGTGTACCTCGTGTGGTGCGAGCCAAAGTGGTTTTGAGAGAGATGATACGTCCACGAGAGGTGCTAGCATAGGTAAGTGAGAGCTTCTCCCAGGCGTGACGGGCCGTGGTAGCGGAGGAGATAATGGGTTGAATGGTTTCGGAGCAACTTCCGAGAAGACCACTGATGATGGTTTTATCCTGACGAAACCATATTGTATAACATGGGTTTAGTTGAGTTTTGGCTGCATCACTGAATTTATCAGGTGGAGAAAGAGAGCCATCAACGTATGAATCAAGACCAAGGCCAACCAATGCATTATGCACTTGAGATTTCCATACTGGAAAATTGGAGGGTGTAAGTTTGATTGGAAAGTGTGTAGCAGCGGTGATAGAGATAACCGCGGTGGTTTCCGATATGGTCATCGTGAGTATGATGAAAAAAAAAAATATATGTGAATATGAAGCTCGTTAGAGATTGGCTCTTGATACCATGAAAAGTATTATATTCACCTTGATAATTACAATTACATAGCAAGGCTTATAAAGAATGACTTATGCGGAGGGATAAGCATGACACTTAATGTTAGCTATACATTCGGTAACAACTAACAGTAAACTACAAAAGTGGAGCAGCTTAACAATATACATGCATGCACGACTCTACTATGACCATCTGTACATGTATGATGTAAATAAATGTAACAATAATCAATTACGTTCTAATATTTTGTACCCGCACGGGTAGCTCAGTTGATCGAGTGGTGGGAGATTTGGAACAATGGACCAAGGTTCGAATCCCCGCAGCGACCGGATGGAGGTCACGTAACCTGAAATAAGGCTGGGCCTCTGGTGCGCACGGATGTATGGATCTACTGTCATTCTGCTGACTAAGTCACCGTCACTAACCTCCCCACCATCCTGTCGGGTCGGGTGGGGAGATTTATGAAATTTGTGTGGGATAATTTCCATAACAGATGGCTGGAATAGTAACTTGATGACCGACGGACCTGTTAAGGGCCAATCAAGGTATATGAGTGATGATAAATGACGTATAGGTGAAAATTATGACCTTTTGCATTATGGTCTTTCTTTTAATTCCTATTCATTTAAGCAAATTAAAATGCTTCTTTTTTTCACTACTTAGTGGAGGTGTGTTAATACTTGCCTAAGTTATTTTCAAAAAAAAAATACTTGCCTAAGTTTTTATGGCACCCCGAGCTTGATCGATTAAGACAAAGTTTGGTTCTTCTGAACTTTAAGTCTTTAACAGCTTAGTTATACATATACCATGCATAGCCTTCCAGTTTTATAACATAAACTTTGCCATTTACATATACTCCCTCCATCCCATTGGACTTTGCCAACATTTCTTTTTTTTGTCCCAAAAAACTTTGTCACTTACCTATTAAAGCAACTAATTTGTGGTTCTGCACATTTCTCTCTCCTCTGCACAAATCTCAATCACACAATTTTTACTATTCTTATTTCTCACCTACTTTGCACTTGACAAAGTCCACCAATTTTATCAACCTTTAAAAGACACGTGCATTTCTTCCTGCATTTTCGATGCAAATGAGCTATAATAAATGTGTAGTGCCTTTTTATCCTAACTATATACATATGTACTATAGGAATATATGCTATATACATACTACCTCCGTCCCAAAATTAACTTCCCATTTCGGATTACGATGCTTGACCGACGATAAAGCAATTCGATCCTTGTTCATACTCAGATTACTTTTAGTAAATAAAATTTATATATTGAGAAACTACATTAAAACCGCTACAAAGGCTGATAAAAAAATACATTTGATAAAAATTTGATATATAAACATAAGATTAAGAGTAATTTAAGTTGACCATGTGAATAGTGGCTGCGAAGTTCATTTTGGAATGGAGGGAGTATATAATATATAACAAAGGATGTAGTTCACCGAGGATCATTAACCAAGAATAGAAAGAAATATTTTCACTACAAGTGAATGCATTAGTGTTTCAGTTTCTTAACACGGAGTAAGGATGATTTCTTTTGGGCCGTTTTCAGTCTCGGACGTGATCAAACCAGCCTTAAACAGACCAGATCAGACTTAAAAAGACTGGACTAGATCAGACCAGACCAGGCTTGGACAGTTATAAATACATCGAGACCAGACATTTACCAGGCTAGTGCAGAGTGCAGAACAGACCAGATCCAATCAGACCATTCCAACAAATTTCAATCCAAAAGAAAACATCCCAATATGCATTTGTTATTATATGTCAAGATCATTCACACGTTCAATTGTGAATTACAAGATTTCTAAAGGTGGTACAAATATGAGGTTTTTCCATTACTAAAGTTTTCAATACTATCAAATAAGCCCTCGAACTTTCATAAAAAGTGCATATAAGCCCTTTTACAGGAGGCTCTGTCCGGCCGTCGCCATATGGGGTGGTTTCCGGTGGAATTTCTTGATGTAATTTTTTAAGTATCTTCTTCATTAAATGTAGTTTATTCATACCAAATTTCAGCTAAAAATTCAATCGAGAAGACAGTTAAATGATTTAATGAAATATATTGCGATGTCTAACTGCGCAGTTATCTTCAAAAATTCATTTGACTGTCTTCCCAATTGAATTTTTAGATGAAAGTTGGTATGAATAAACTAGGCTTAATGAATAAGATACTCAAAAATTTCATCAAAAAAATCCACCGGAAACGCCCCAAATGGCGACGGCCAGACAGAGCCTCCTATAAAAGAGCTTATTTGCACTTTTTATGAAAGTTCAAGGGCTTATTTGACAGTTCTCCCTTTATTTATCTATTGGATTGAGTTGACTATGGACTTTATATAAGCATCAGAGAGAATGACTTCCAGCTATTGTCATTTATGGCTAATAGGCTTCTTGATGGGTGCAAGTTTGTATTAAAATTCCCGATGGTTCTTTAAATAGGATTACATAGAACATGGTTAACAATATATGTCATGTATGTTCAAAATATGCTATACGTAGTATATTGATTCTGAAAATGTCATATTTTCTTACAAAAGACTAGAGTAAAAGGTCATTACTGGGCTGGAAACCTAAGTATTTTCTTGTGGCGTCCTCTTTTTACAGATGGATAGTTGTCTGTTGAAGTTTCCATAGAGACAAGTCTGTATGGCTTAAATTAGTGATGTGTGACGACGAAATAAATAAAACTTGCAAATACGTCGCTTATAATGAAGCCTTCAATAATCTGTAAATTGTGTGCTTATTTTTAAAAAATTTACTATGATATATTCACAACTCCTCTCATTTGTGTGATAAATAATAATATCATTTATGATTTTTTTTATATAATTACAGTGTGATAAATAATAATAATATCATTTATTAATTTGTTTATATACTTACACTTAAAATAACCGCATAATACATCCCATGCAACGCAGGGTGAGATACTAGTTATTAAATATGACAATTCTATCATTCATGTGTGTTAGTGTGTCTGTGTTTTTCACACACACAAACACAATACTACTGTTTTACTACGTTCGCCTAGCAACCAAGCATTATATTCCAGCCCAACTGGTTGTGAGGTTACCGTGCCTAGTGGGAGGTCTCAAGTTCGAAACTCGCTAGGCACACAAGAGTTTGAAACTCAATGGAGTGAGTTTCACCTCTGATTACTCCAGGCCCCCTCAGGCCCCTCCCCCAAACCACTTGGAGTAAAAAAAACTACGTTCACCTAGCTGCATAGGCGTTGGACTGCCGCCCGATTAGCGCCTAACGCCTTTTAGAACATTGATATACACTATTTATTCCGCCGGCCAAAAAAATAAGGCACATATGAAGTCGATGAAACCGTTCGCAACCAATTAAAGATAGGTAACAGATCATCAATGTCGTTGAGATAATAAAGGTTAATAAAGTCAATGGACTCTGGTAACCCCGTCTAATAATTAACCCTACGGTGGGAACGATCGACACTGCATGTGTGTGTACACACACACACATATATATGTATATGACATGTACGAGTTCGGAGTGAAATCGGAAATGTTTATAAATTTCAGGTTAAGTTGTAACTTTTACGTAATACAATCTAAATGAAGTTGAAACACTAGTTTTAGAACTCAAAATGATCTTTCCAACGAGATATAAAACGCTTGAAACAGAAAAGAACATATAGCAAGATATGATCAAATCAAATACTTAACATGTTCACTGTGTTAGCATTTTCGGCGTTAGTAGAGCATATTTAGCGTAAATAGAGTCTTGGATGCCAAATTTGGTTCATTAGGTAATTATCCTGTAATTTTGAAATTGATGCTTGAAGATGAGTGTTAGAACTCGATAAGATCTTTCAAACGAGATAGAAAACACTTTAAACGTAACCAAATACAGCAAGATGTGATCAGATCAAATACTACACAAGTTCCGGGTGAAATCGGAAATGTTTGTGAATTTCAGGTTCATTTGTACATTTTACTTGATACATTGTAAATGAAGTCGGAGCACTGGTTTTAAAACTTAAAATTAGGGATGGACTCGGGTCCGGGCCGGGTCCGGGCCGGCAGGTCAGAAATGGTGGACCCGGGACCGGCCCGGGTAACCACCGGGTCCGGGCCGGGCCGGGCCCATTATATTTTTTTTTTGTTTTCCTCTTCCTACTTAACCCCCTCCCGCCCCCAACCCCCCAAACCACCCCAAATGGCCCAAAATACCCAACCCAACCCGAAAATTTAAAAAAAATTGAAAAAAAAAAAAGTTTTTGGCCCGAACCGGGCCCGGGCCCGGCCGGGCCTTGTTTTGGGTGACCCGAGCCCGGACCGGAAAACCCACGGGCCGGGCCTACCCGGACCGGTCACTGACCGGGCCACCGGGTCGGGCCGGGCCGGAACAGTACCGATCCCGGGCCGGTTCCGGGTCGGGCCACCCGGCCCGAGTCCATCCCTACTTAAAATGATCTTTCCAACAAGATAGAAAACGATTGAAACAAAAGAAAATACAACAAGATAGGATCAAATCATTTACTTAACATGTTCTCTGTGATTTAACGTTTTCCGTGTAAATAGAGCGTTTATATAAAAACAAATGACTCTGAAATTACAGTTGGTAGAGGTTTTTAAGTTCAATTTTTTTCTTAAGTGGATTCAAGTTCTAAAATAAAGAGCTTCTTTAGTGACACTAAAATTGGCTAGCTAAATTGGTTGAAGTTGATGAAGTTATAGATAAATTGGCTAAATCGATTGAAATAAACTAAATCACTTCAGCCAGAACTTTACTAATTTCATCCGATTTAGGAAATTTCAGTATTATCAAACAAACTCTATTTTAGAACCTTATTCTGCTTAAGAACAATTTTGAGTTAAAACCTTCTACCAACCGTATCTTTAGATTTTTTTTATAAATGCAATATTGGTATTATATGAAAGATAATAAACAGTTACGAATATTGATATATTATTTGTAAAAATCAGATTATAAATAAAAAAGGTTATAGCAATATAGAGAGAGAGATTTAACTTGGGCCCAT